GGGGTGACGGGATCCAGCCGCTGTGCCCAGTGCGGGGTGGCATGGCCCGGTGACGGGCAGGGCTGGCCTCCGGTGGCATGGGAAGGAGCCAGCCCGTGGCATGAGGGCAGGAATGGCTCTGCCCTCCTTGGCGTCCCCCTTGTTCCCTGGGGTCCCCATCTCTCCCCTTGGTCCCTGTCCCCCGCTCTGGGATTCCCAGCCCTTTCCTGTGTTCCCACCCCTTCCCAGGGTCTCCCTGCCTTTCCGGCATCCCCATCCCTCATCTCTCCCTGGCGTCCCCCTCTCTCCACAGGGTCTACCTTCAGGTCTCTTCCTGAAGTGTTTGTCCTTTCTGGGGTCCCTCTCTGGGGTCCCCATCCCTCCTGGGTTTCCTGTCCCTCCTTGAGACCCTTGTCCCTCCCCAGGGTCCCTGTCCCTTCCTGGGGTCCCCATCCCTTCCCAGGTCCCCATCTTTTCCCAAGAGCCTCCATCTCTCTCCCAGTGGTCCTCAACCTTCCCCAGGGTCCCCAACCCTCCCGAGGGTTCCCATCTCTCTCCCAGTGGTCCTCAACCCTCCCCAGGGTCCCCAACCCTCCCGAGGATCCCCACCCCTCTTCGAGGTCCCCGTCCCTCCCCAAGGTCCCCATCCCTCCCCAAGGTCCCTGTCCCTCCCCAAGGGTCCCCAACCCTCCCTGGGCCCCCTGCACCTTGGCGAGCAGCAGGAGCGTGCGGCTGGTGCGGGGATCAGCGTGCTGCTCCCGGAGGCTGAAGAGCTTCGGGGTGAGGACAGCGGGGGCAAAGAAGCGGAGGAAGAGAAACCCACTGATGGAGAAGTACCGCACCTCCTGGTCAGGGACAGGGACAGCTCAGGGCTCACTGTGGTGGTCCTGGTGGCACGCAGCCCCCCAGTCCTGGCCCCACCATGTGCCCTACCTCATGCTGCGCCAAGGGGAACCGCTCCTCCACCCGCTCGCGGAGCTGCTTGAAGGCCGCCCTCATGAGGAGGGGACACTTCTCCACCGAGCCCACGATAGCGTCGACGATGTCGCCCAGGTAGCCCTTCAGCAGCTCCAGGCTGCTCTCCCGCACCTGCACCTCCGACAAGGATCCCTTGAAGGAGATCCTCCTGCGGGGATGCCGCCAGGTCAGGGGGCACCCAATGCCCAGGAATGGGCCACCCAATGCCCAGGAACGGGCCACCCCGGGTTGGCCAAAAGCCATCGAGGTGACCCACGCACTCAGCAACAACGGGTGACTCCCTCCTGCGGGGGACACCGGGATGGGGATGGCTTGGGATGGGCCAGGCACGCGTGTCCCTCCCAGCCGTCCCCCCGCGCTCGCCTGCTGCGGCTCAGCTCCATCTTGCCGGGGTCCAGCTCCACATACTTCTTCTCCTCAAAGATGCGGTTCACCACGGGCTTCAGGACCTCATGCAGGTAGGGCAGCCCCACCACCTGCAAGGGATGGGAAGCCACTATCCTTGTCCCCAAACTTTTCCCAGATGCCCTGCCCAGCTCTGTGCCCTAATGCCATCATGGGAGGGCGCAGTGGGGACCTGGCTGGTGTCCCCTCCCATGCTCACCTTCATGAACTGCTCCACAGACTTGGAGGCCAGCGAGTTGGAGCGGAAGAGGGTGTTGGGGTCCGCTGGAAGAGCGCAGAGGCCATGGCGAGGTGGGCATGGGGTGATGCCCCTGCTCTCCCTGGTGTGCCCAACCCCAGGGACACGTGGCACCTCTCCTGCCTCCCCCTTGGTGGCCCCACTCTTCTCTTCATGGGGTCTGGGGGGAGCCTGGCAACCCAGTTTTCTGGCTGGGGGGGTGCAGGTGGTGCCCTTGGCCCTGGCACTTACTAGTCCTGGCCAGCTCGCGGGTGGTAAGGAAGTCCAGGAGGGGCACGGCCAGCCCTTGCTCCAGGAAGACCTTCACCAGCTTGGTGGCCACATCCTGCCGGCTCTCTGCTGAGGTCACCTCCTCCAGGATGGCCAGAGCCGTGCCGGCGGAGGGCTGTGGGAAGGGTAGGGTGGGCACGGTGAGGCCCCTGTGCCAGGGTGGTCCCTGGCTGCCCCTGAGGGTCCTCCTACCCCACAGCACCCACCTGGCCCGGGCAGAGGATGGGCTCGGTGAGGAGCTGGATGAGGGGCTGGTAGTAGGGGGGAGGCAGGACCCTGTCCTCAACCAACCGCACCGCCAGCAGCAGGGCACCCAGCTGCCCCCTGCAACGACACACGAGGGGCTGGGCGCGC